GGATTTTCTTTTCTTTTTTTGGTGAGACAGTGTCTGTCACCCCAACCCCCAGAGTGCTTCCTCTGAGTGCAGTCGCATCATCATGGCATCATCACAGCTCATAGCAAACTCAAACTCTGGGACTGAAACCATCCTCCTGCCTCAGCCTTCCCATTAGCTGGAACTGTAGCCTTGTATCATCATGCCCAGCTCATTTTTCTATTTTTTAGTAGAGCTGGGGTCTTGCTTTTGCTCAGGGTGGTCTTGAACTCCCAAGCTGAAGGAATCTTCCTGTCTCAGTCTCCCAGAGTGCTAGGGTTACAGGGGTGAGCCACTATGCCTGGCTAAGACATGGATTTTCCTTGTTCTGTTTTGATGCCTTTTGTACTCATTTCTGTCTTAACTGTAATTTAAAAACCTTAATAAACATAGGTATGAGTCATATTTCTAAATACGATTCCAAATAAAATATTTAAAACAAAAAATTGAGTTCATTCATTTTAAAGACTGGGGCCTGCCAGATGAAGGAGCAAGATGCCAAGAAAATAGAGTTGTTGACTTGGGGGAACTACTGAGTCACAAGCCTGATCTTTTGTTAAACAAGATATAAAGCATAAAATCTCATCAATAATGTTATTTCATAACTCTGAAAATTACTCGGCACCATTTTGTAACAAAACACTAACTGAAAGCTTTATCTCAGGTATGTTCTCAGACTGCAGTTATCTCTACAAAGTATGAGGAAACAGTAGGGTATTATTTGCAAACAAACCTCTGCCATTAATTGGCCCATCACTTCCTTCCTAATAGAAACTTAAATATAATATTCACTAATTATGTGCCTGTCAAAAAAGAACTTAATTTCAGCACAATATGTGGGTGTGTGTATATAAAATAGAACTAAAGTGAAATCAAATCTGGATAATAAAAAATGAAAAATTCTTTTTAGATATCAGAAAAAAATATTTTTTTAAAAGAAAAAAAAGCTTCTTCAAAGTTAGAGTTTAATCTCTAACATGCCAGCTTTTTAAATGTAACTAAAAGTCTTAAATCTCTAATATTTGTTTCTAATCTGGATCTTTGAAATAAATTTTATCTGCAAAAAACCAAAAATGAATCCAAAGAATCCTTGACGGCTTAGAAATTGTCTATTTTCAGAAAATAATGCTAAGTTATAACAAGTAGAAAGAATAAAGGGATTTGAAATTCATGAAGCAAACAAAGAGCTTTCTCAAAGCCATTTTATAAAATGTGGAGCCAGGTGGGGGCTGGGAATGTTAAGAAATAGGGAATAACAATGCATAACATTTTTAATAATGTTTTACTATTTATAAAACATTTCACAAAGCAATTTGGGAGAAAACTACTGTAAGAGGCATCATTTTCAATTACAAGAACTCTACCTGGCTCGGCGCCTATAGCTCAACCGGCTAAGGTGCCAGCCACGTACACCTAAGGTGGCGGGTTCGAATCCCCAGCCCGGAC